AGAGATTATATTCTTAAAGTCCCTGTAAAGTCAAAATTAAGTATGTGTTCTGAGTTTGTCACACCACAGAAAAATGTGTTATTAGCCACCCAGCCAAATTTGCATGATATAAAATGTCGGCAAGTACATAAAATAACCCAGATAGCAAACTGACATTGAATCAACGTGGAAATATGACATCGAAACCACGTTGATCTGACATTGTTTTGCTCATCGAATTAACGTTGAACCAACGTCAGACGCGTCATTCTTTCAAAACTAACGGAAAATCAACTTGAAATCAACGCGTTGTTTCAACGTTATGAAAGCAAACCAATTTTCGATTTCATTTAGCTTTGAAGAATGCCGCGTCTGACGTTGGTTCAACGTTAATTCGATGAGCAAATCAACGTTGTTTCAATGTCATGAGAGACGTCGTTTCCACGTTGATTCAATGTCAGTTTGCTGTCTGGGAAGCTATCAAAATCTTGAAAAAATGAGTAGTTATCTCTGTTCTCAAACCCTGGGGGCGTGTCCGCTGGCTGCGTGGAAACCACGCCCACTCGGGGGAAAGCTAGAGTCGACAGTGGTATAAGCTGATACTGCTTTCGGGACGGGAGAATGAACGCTGAGGCGGGAGATAGTCGGTCCAGCCCCGTTCACCAGCAACAGCGGATTATCAGTGAATCCCAGTTGTCACTGGAAAGTTTATAAAACGATCCCGTGTAAAATGATCACTACAGAGGCGGATGTTGGCGGTGATCCTCAGCTCTTCATCAAGGTTGGCTCTCTAAAAACCTCTTCTTGATGTGATCATTTTTAGGGAATTTAAATAAAGATACCGATCTGTTTTGTACATGATCGCATTCAGGTAGTAGCCTATGCATTTCTGTGTTGAAGGCATCGCTAGCTAGAAAACTGTAGGCTCAGCTGTAGTAACTAATTGTACTGACATTCACTCGCGATTGAGCGGTGAATGCGAATGTGCTCTGGGAGTGTTATTGTGTGTTAGGGAAGAGATCAGACTCTGTGCGTCATCAAATAGGGGCGTCTCCAGGAGCTCTTGGGCTCCAGTGCGTCATCGAGCCCTGTTTTAGCCCCGCCCAAACAATCCGTATAATTGCAATGGTGAAAAACTGTTTAACGGTCTAACTGCACATTTCAGTACTTCACAGTTTACAGTCTTTGTAATATGTTTTAGCAATACATGTGTAACATTTATAATGTGTTTAGAAATTTTTTGTAGAATTGCCTTTACAGGGACTTTAAAGACTTTGAAAAGGAGATAATAAAAAAGATCAGATGTAAATACTTAAAATTCTCTGTCCTGCCAAAGATAAAAGAAATTCAATTCAAAATTATAAATAAGATCTATACGACTAAAGACTTATTAAAACAAACATTTAAAATGTATGTAGGAAATTGTAACTTCTGTGAAGCTGAACCCAAAGATCTGGATCAACAATTGTTCATCTCCAAAGGATTTCAGATGATGAATTTAAGAATTAATGATATAAAATTCGGTATTTTTTCGTAAGGATCACAATGATTTTGGCATTAACAATGTAATTCTTTTAAGTAAACATTTCATTCATAAATGTTGTTTTTACAAGATAATTCCTGACAATACTCATTGGACAAATGAGCTGATTTTTTTATAACTCTTTGTTATTTATTAATAACAAGAAAGCTGAGAAACTTGCTTCTTTTGTAAACAATCTTATTAAATAATTGCCCTTTTATTTTAATTTCTTTTGAATATGTAAATGTCATTTTTTCCATGACATGCTCCATGTTCTTCTGTTCTTTTAAGATGATTTATTGATTTATTTATTATTATTTTTCTTTTTTCTCTTTTCTAAGCACTGTAAGTTTGTAGTAAGATTGGACATTGTTCCTGATTTGTTTGTATTTGCTTTGTTTCTTAAAAAAACAAAAAATAAAAAAAAAACGTGTAGTTGTAACAAAATCTGAAAACTCACACTCCTTACCTTCTGCATTTTCCTCAATTCCACTGGGCAACTCCGCATCCGAGTCGACCCTGGGATAAAATAGTCTGAATATAAACTCTTATAATAGGCGTAGCCGCTAGCGTCCCTAGGCCACAAGCGCTGCAGCACTGTCGCAAAAGTCAACAAACAGTCAACCGGTCAGCCTCCCGTGTCTTTAGATTGTGTGTGTGCTTGCAGTGTTTACTGTAAATCAGGAAGCCTTACGCGCTCGACTCCCTTATAGCAGTCTGCTGAGAGAGCGCAAGCGTGGTGAGCCCCATGGGGCTTAACATGTCTTTGAGTGAATGTGGGTTGGGGACAGCGGACACATTTACTGCACTGAAAACACCGTCGGCCTGAGCTGACTGTAAGGCCCCGTCCACACGTTTTCGTTTAAAAACGGAGAATTAAAACAAATACGATCTCCGTCCACACCAGTGTTTTATCATTTTTTATTTATGCAAAGTTAAATAGTGCAGGTAAAAGCGATATAGACACTGTCAGGCTATGGCAGATGTGTCATTCAAACATTCAAACATTCAAACAAAAATACGTAGTGTGCCTTTAATGCTTCACATAGAATTTCTGCATGTCCTACATTGCATATAGGCATCTCCAGGAATCTTGTAGCGACCTACAGAGTGGCCTCATCGTAGAGTCTAGTCAGGATGACGAATTCTTGGTCTGTTTTTCTGTTGTTCGATTCGTCCCACATCAGTGAAAGGTGCTGAGATCGGCATGTTTTGACCAACTCATCCTCTAGTTCTGCTGCTATGGCACCTGTTGAGTATCCAGTAATTAACTAGTAAGTTAGCCTACAACATGCATGCCATGCCAACTTACCTTTGAGGAATTAGCCTTAAGAAAAATAAGGCTAATAAGGCTAGAAAAATAGCCTTAGTTTTTCCCTTTGAGTATTTCCGTGCAATAGCAGAGTCCAGGAACATGTCAGCTACACACTTGTTTGAAGTCGTCGTGAAAGGAGAATGAAATGTTGTTTTTGGCACACAGCATTGCCATTTTTACCTCTGCACGGGTGACCTGGTCTGCCTCGGTGGCATTTCTCGTCACGAATGCTGACATCACCTGGGCATGTTTTTGTGCCTCCAGTCCACGCTTTTTTTGTTTTCCTCGCATTGTCACTCACAATCTGATCTGACCTCACACACTAACCTCACGATAACTGCCACCTAAAGTACCTGTTGTATGTTTGTATGTTTTTTTTTTTTGTTTGTTTTTATTTTACTCCGCCCGGGACCGGCGTATTATTATTTTTTAATAATGCAGGTTAAACTACAGAAGATTTATGGGAAAATACTAATACGGGAGGATGGCGGGAAAGAAGGGTAAAATACAGGACTTTCCTGGACAAAACAGGATACTTGACAGGTATGTTGATGTCTGTGGGAACCCCCCACCAGGGGCCATGCTGTGACCACAGCCTGCTATGCCTTCACTCTCCCAACAGAGTCAGACATTATTTCTTCAATCCAACTCAGAAGAAAGCTGCAACTTTACCAACACTGAATGGGCAACAAACTCTTCCGACTTCCTCACTCCTTGATTGCCTGCGTAGCCTCTCTGCCGGCAGGTCACAATCTGCATGTGCTCAGCCATGTGAAAGAAAACTTTCATGCAGAACATAGTCGAACTATCCATGCAAGTTCATCATATCTTCTTCATCCAACGGAGAAGAAAACTAATGCAACTTCAATGTTTGACACTCCTTTTCCAAGATGCAATGGCTACAAATGCAAATCCAAGTAACTGACCCAAATATTCATAACAAGTTATGATTGATTATAAATATTTCCCCTTTAAGCTAACTTGTTACAAACATAGCAATATCCATGTTTTTTTAATAATGTTACATTTCAGCAACTGACATACTGTAACATCACACAGTTGACCAAATAAGGACTGCTAAGGTAATATTTGTAAAATACAAATAATAGACTCACTTAGCGTGTGTTAACTTGCCAAGCCTGTTCAGTTCTCAGGAACCATGCAGTGATGCGCAGTAAAATTGCAGGCAAGTTCTCGGATGACACCCTCTGATAACATTGTCTGCCTGTTTTGTGGAATTAGGTGTGCCTTGCGTCAGACAGTTTTCGTCATTTAGTGTTCAACAATGTTTCCAAAGACTTGTAATTAAGCAGCTCCCCAAGGTTACAACAGCACATTTTTGTAATTAATACTGTGTAATGTACTAAAAAAGAGGGTTTTATACATTTTTTTTTTCCGGTGTATTTTATTTTATTTTTTAATGAAATAACAGACAATATGATGCATATCTTAAAAGCATTTTTTCTTTCAAACTTGTCATTATGGTAAGTAAAATAAAGTAAATTAAACTAAATAAAATTTTCACTTCAGTGAAACGTCTACTTTCATATTATAGCTAATTTTGTTTAGCTTTTGTTCATGGTGAAATCAAGAAATTAAGACGTGCAGAGGTTAAAACATTAATATAGGCATTTAACATGCATGCTTTGCTTTAGTAATTGAGTTCAATGTTACTGTTGACGAGATTGTTGTTTGATTACGAAGCATGAATTATGAATCTGTCACTTTGTACTAATTTGACTAAATAAAAAAAGGGGGGAAATGAATTAGTACAATGTGGCCATGATTCAACAGGAACTATGGAAGGAATTCTTTATTTATGAATATGATGTGTATTTTTTTCTACTGCATGTCAACATAACATTATAATTAAGCGTATTTTATTTCAGCTATAGTTGCCAAAGCAATTTTCCTCATTTTGGTTTAGTGTAAGAAAAGGGCTAAAATAACTAAACCTAAATAAACTAAACTTCAATAAAACTAATAAAAAACAAACACACACACACACACACACACACACACACACACACACACACACACACACACACACACAAATAACATTGTATCAAATAACAGAGTAAAATAGCACTGAGCCAGTCCCTGCCCTCCCTGATCTGAATATCTCCTCCCCTCTCCCATCTGTTATTTGGGCAGTGAACACTATTGCTTTATGAGAAAGAAGGAAACTCATTCACACTGGATTGCTTGATGATCTGCTTCAACATGAAGACCCTTCCTGTCAGTTTGCTCCTGGTGCTGGTGAGTTCAACACTGTAAAAAATGATTTTTTGGTGAAGTAAATACTACTGACAAAAAACAATGTAATTTACATGAAAACTTAGTTCAGGCAAGAATTAAAAAAAAACTAAGTAAATTCCATATCAGTACTTAATTCAAGTGAGTAGAAATGAAAGTGTAAATATCAACTCAATAAAATTAAGTAAAAATTACTCAACCTTTCTGATACTGGGGTTCCCATCTGCACTGGACCTTGAATAATTAATGAGGTTCATTTTTCACTGGTTTCCAGCTGTATTTACACTGTTTTATCATTGATTTTTGTTGTCAGTATTAGTAACTTGCCATTTTGTGACATTTCAAGTAATTTGTTTGTTTAAAATTACACATTCAAACACAAAAATGACCCATCAAATGTTACTGCCATTGTGTATTGTCTACCAAGTATTGAGGTCTTTGCATTCACATGATGCTTAACATTTGGCATGATGTAATATAAATTACTTAGATGATCTAAGTAAAGCACATACTATAAATGACTAATAAAATTCAATATTTGTTGTTTTAGTGAAATGTAATGCAAAGGGAAAGGAAATTTCAACTAAATCGATATTAATCAACCTTTTACTAGCCAAGTTAAAATTACTTATTTTCTGTAAAGTTTACTTAATTCCATATTCCAAGTAAATTTAACTTAAAGATTTCTAATTAAATATACTGATAAATATGTTTAGGTTTTTACTTGGCAAATCTTTGTAAATTTACTAGCATTTTCTGAGTGAAAAAAGTTGCCTAGCTTTTTTCAAGTAAATCCTACTCCGATTTTTTTTCAGTGAAGGCCTGTGTGATGAGATACTATGGAAGCTTGTTTCTGCCACTGAATATAAAAATAAAATAAATAATTGTGACTTTTATCTCACAATTCTGATTTTATAACTCGCAATTGCGACTTTATATAACGTGATTCTGACTTTATATCTCGCAATTCTGAGAAATAAAGTCAGAATTGCGAGATATAAAGTCAGAATCGCGTGATATAAAGTCGCAATTGCGAGTTATAAAGTCAGAATTGCGAGATATAAAGTCAGAATTGCATGATATAAAGTCGCAATTGTGAGTTATAAAGTCAGAATTGCGAGATATAAAGTCAGAATCGCGTGATATAAAGTCGCAATTGCGAGTTATAAAGTCAGAATTGCGAGATATAAAGTCAGAATTGCGAGATATAAAGTCAGAATTGCATGATATAAAGTCGCAATTGCGTGATATAAAGTCAGAATTGCGTGATATAAAGTCAGAATTGCGAGATGTAAAGTCAGAATTGCGAGATGTAAAGTCAGAATTGTGTGATATAAAGTCGCAATTCTGAGAAAAAAAGACGTAAGTGCGACTTTTTATCTCACAATTCTGACTTTTTAATTGCGAGTTTACATGTCGCAATTCTGACTTTATACACACAATTGCGAGTTTATATGTCGAAATTCTGACATCTTTTCTCAGAATTGTGAGACATAAACTCGCAATTGTGACTTATCAGGCCAATTCTAAGCGGGAAAGAAGACTAACTTTCCCCCCCCTCAGAATAGTTTAAATCTCACAATTCTGACTTTATATCTCACAATTCTGACTTTATACCATGCATTTCTGACTTTATAACACGCCAGTGCAACTTTAAATCTGGCAATTCTGACTTTATAACTCGCAATTCTGACTTTATAACTCGCAATTCTGACTTTATATCTCGCAATTCTGACTATATGTCGCAATTCTGAGAAATTCTGAGAAGTAATCTCGCAATTGTGAGAAAAAAAGTCAGAATTGTGAGATAAAAGGTTGCAATCACCTTTTATATTTTTCATTCTATGGCGGAAACAAGCTTCCATAAGATACAGCTATATCATCGTGTACTGCAAGCCATCACGCCGGCTCATGTTTCTCTGCTCATATATTCCAAGACAGATAGTGTTCATGTTGCAGAAGTCAATCACACTGTATAAAGTCAGTTGAAATCCAGGTTTATATACAATTAGTCAATTAAAGCCACAATATGTATTTTTCTGCTTTAAAAATAGCAAAAATAACTGTATCTATGTTATATGTTTCTATTAGATGTGTACTTACATTATACCGACAGTTTCCACCAAATATGGAGAAATGTATTGTTTAACTGAAGACACGGGAGGTTTCTTTATTTCCGTTTCGTCGCCCGTCTATGGCGTCATATAACCTTTGTTGTGGAAATAATTCTCTGTTGTTCAAAAAGATAGGAGGAAGAAGACAAGTGGAAACCTTTTCAAAAGTCAAAGTATCAAAAGTTTATTTTCTTGCAAGAAAATAATTCCAAACTTTGGCGTTCAACATACAGAACAGCGTCTACATGTGAAGGCGAAGGCTAGTCCTTCTCATCATCCTTATATACCTGAAAACCCAGGAAACCATGCAGGCTATGTCTGGTTTGCAACCGATTGTCTCCTATAAAGTCTAGCAAGGAAACATGTTTGCGCTGCTCTTAAAGGGTTAGTTCACCCAAAAATGAAAATTAAGTCATTAATTACTCACCCCCATGCTGTACCAACCCCGTAAGACCTTCGTTCATCTTCGGAACACAAATAAAGATAGTTTTGATTGAATCTGAGAGCTGGATCAGTCCTATATAAAATGCCTAAGGGACTGGCTCTTGACGGCCCATAAAGTCATTAAAGAAAAGGTTTAAATATTCCATGTGCCTACAGCGGCTCAATTATAAGTTTATCAAGCGACGAGACTACTTTTTGTGCGAAAAAAACATAAATAACGACTTTATTCCACTATTCCATTACTTCCTTATGGGCGCATGCGCGAGAACTGAGACGAGGACGTTCTCATTCGTCTACTTCTTGTTACCGGCTGCTCACCGCTTAGGAGTTTTACCGCCACCTACCGTATAAGATGATGATCCATATATAAGGCGCTCCGGATTATAAGGAAGACAACTCGAGCGACACAACTCTAGTCAGCTTTCCACAAAAGTAGACGATGGATTCAAAGGGGCTGTTTACACCTGGTCACTTCATGTGTTTTCTGTGATCGGATAACTATTCGATCGTGAAAAGACCAGGGTGTAAATGCCCTCCGAAACGCGTTAGAGAAGGATGAATCCGATCGCTCAAACCACTTGAGGACGTGGTCTGGGCCGCATTCCAGACGAAACTGGACAAGTGTAAATGCATCTGGTTGTTGAAACCAAGCTATATGTCATGTTATTTTAGTCATATGACGACGCGCATCACCTCAGATGAGCAGCTGAGCTGAGCAAGGCAGCGTGCCGCAATCTATCGCAAATCAAAGTGAAAGTAAGTCGCAGACGCTTAACACTACAATCTTCATTAAAAGTAAATAAATGAATTGGTCTTACCAGGCCTGTTGCCGATCTCTCTTATTGCTGTCTTTGCTGATTTTGAAATTAGCCGATGATTAATAAAATCCAGCTCATATCTGTTGCTTTCGGTGACGTGCACATCATATCTGTATATGGCGCGGAAAGAGACCGGCTTGTAGTTCATTACAAACCCCAACGCAAACTCCGCGTGAGACAAAGAAAATAAAACTTCAGTCTGTCCAGTGCCAGGCGTCGGAAATAAATCGAGAGTCAACATCGGGAAGGCTTTCAACAAACGGAGAGATCTCCGGTCTGCTCTAGGACTCAAATGGGTCCTATACAAAGTGATAACTGAACGTGTTTCCATAATAATTCAATCATAAGTGGATACAGTAAGCACAGGGAGATAGATGGAAACAAAAACCGAAGTTTTCTACTACCCCCGTTTCCCCCTCTCACACACATAAGTGTGTAATTTACTTGAATGCCTTTCCTTTCATATATTTTAAATGACTTGCAGATTTTTTACTGTATTACCTCATTATGACTGTAACAAAAGATGTGTGCCGCACAGTGTGCGGCTGATGCTCCTTAGGTTATGAACAGCTCGTGCAAACGTGCGTGTGTGTGTGTTCCTCCATGAACACGCACAGCTCTGGTTGCAGTTTCGCTTGTCGCCAGAGGGGGCGTAGTTCTGCAAAAACTCAGAGACTTGCGTTTAGCTCCTTTAACTATTCTTGTAACCATATATTTAACACACACAGCACAATGACGTCTGTGTTAAGGTTTCCTGTGTTCAAGTACAGCTTGACTTCACACCCCAATTTATCTCTTGGTTGCAAGTACTGTTCGACCTTTCTGCTTTATCTTTTGTTTGATCAAAACCCTGCACAAATATAATTCACACTTGAGAAACAAAGAGCTATTAAAATGTTTCCATGCTGCTTGCTTTTTTGTTAAACACAGAACAATATGTCCTCACACTAAGCTTACATTACTTATGCATTTCTAACAGTTTAGTTATACCTTAAGCTTACTCTAACTAATGCATTTCTAACAGCTTGTTATATCTTTAATAATGTCCTTTGGATTACATGAGCATCACCCTTTAAATGCTTATGAGTATATGTTAGATGATATGAATAGTTTCCTTTAAATGCTTACGAATACATCTTTTCCAACGTTAGTAAAGTTACACACACATCTATCACATCTTAATGAAATAAAAGAAAACATATAAAAGAAAATAAAAGATTGTATATTGAAGAAAAGAAACATACATAAATGTAAATGCAAAATTAGCCATTACATTCCACCTAGTGATGTTACGTTCGTGAACGAATCGTTCTTTTTGAACGAATCTTTTAGGTGAACGAATCATTCTCGTTCACGTTATCCATTGACTCATATTTCTCGTTCACTGAAATTCCCCCTTCTACCACTGCGCGCCGCTATTGCGCGCATGCGCAGCTCAATGAACCGTGTAGCTCTGTGGCCCGTTTCATCTGTCAAAGACAAAGAGTGACTAAACCTCGAGCCAATAGCCTTCGAGTATGATACGAGGACGGAGCATGTGATTTGTTGAATCTAGTGAACGAATACGCCCTTTATTGAGTCCAATGAACTGTTACATACATCTCGTTAGTGAATGAAAGAACCAGTTGTTTGAACGTCAAGATAATAATGACGACGAAGTTAACAGTGCAAGCTGATGGTTTAATAAAAAAAAAAAGACAGCTTAAAATTTTCGTTTTTACTAAAATCTACAAACTACATCAGGTAATCTGCTAACTTCAAAATGAGTGGCACCACTAGCACTGGTGTTGTTTTGTGTGCATTTTGTATTATTTATTTTTATTATTGTTGTTTTATGTTTCAACAGTTTTATACTTTAAAAATAAATATATATGTCATGTCATGCACTTTTGTTTGTTTAAACACTGTAAAACATTTAAAAAAAATAGAGTATTGATTATTTGCGTCACGTCATTCCAGCTCATTTGCGTCACGTGACTCACGTCAGCTAATAGCATTTCAGCTTGGGCTTAGAAGGGGCATGTAATTGGTTGGATCTACTCTGCTGAATGAGTCTGAACGAGAGAGAGATCTCCCGTTCGTGAACGAATTGAACGAATTGAACGAACTGGTTGCTATACCCAGTTCGTGTACCAGGTCGGCCATTCTGTCAATCTAGTTCATCAATCAGCAGAAAGTGAATGCAAAGCGCAGGTATCCGTACTGTGAACGCGCAATTCATAACTTACATACAGAAAATAACTTCTCGTTTAACTCGTTCTGACCAAACAAATAAAATGTTAACTAGCCTGCCTAGTATGCAAACAAATTAAAAAACACTTGTGATTTGATCATCCGAAAAGAGTGTAATTTAAAAGATAAAAAGAGTGTTGAGACTTTGATTGCTTATTTAGACTTATTTTATCAATTTAATGAGTAGCCTAGGGCAAAATTTTTAATAAAGTCAAATCAGTTTTTATTTTGTAACAAGTAAATACGTAGTTAACACATTTTGCCGCACCTGCTGCTGATGTATATGGAAAAAAAACTGAACGAATCAGTGAACGAGTCTGAACGAATCATTTTGGTGAACGAACTAAAAATGAACGAGTCTCTGAAAAGAATCAAAATTTCCACCACTAATTCCACCCCAAGTTCATTCAAAGAACTTACACACAATTTTGACATTTACTTCTCCATAATCATAGTAATTTACACCAAGTAAATTTTTCCCATGTTTACTTCATTTCTTAGTCAAAACTCATGCGTGTCCTCATTCTCATACGCCTCAAACTTTTCAACTTTTTTTTTTATTTCAGCATCACCCTCCAAGATGTACCCCCTCCTCTTCGTACACAGTTTCAGTTCCCCTTAATCACACATATCTCGCTCTTTGTCTTGTACCTAACAATTTTATGTCCTTTGAATTTTATGTCTTTTTGACCTGGCCTGTCTGTCCTATTTGCAATTTCCCTGACACAGCATTTACTGAAAAGGCACATCTATTGTATAAATCATCTCTGTCTAAAACAAGAAAACATCTATGCTTATAAAACACACAAGCATATGTTCAAAAAGAAAAGATACATAAAAAAATAAGATACAATGTTCCGTCCAGCCCTCCAGAGACTGAATGCTCTTCACTGCTGGTTCCGTCCAGCTCTCCAGAGACTGAATTCCCCTCCTCGCTGGTTCCGTCCAGCCCTCCAGAGCCTGAAGGCTCTTCACTGCTGGTTCCGTCCAGCCCTCCAGAGCTAGAACTTTCTTCACTGCTGGTTCCGTCCAGCCCTCCAGAGACTGAATGCTCTTCACTACTGGTTCCGTCCAGCCCTCCAGAGACTGAATTCCCCTCCTCGCTGGTTCCGTCCAGCCCTCCAGAGCCTGAATGCTCTTCACTGCTGGTTCCCACCAGCCCCGTCCAGCCATCGCCCGAGGCCGTCCAGACCGTCCAGCCAGAGACCGTCCAGACCGTCCAGCCAGAGACCGTCCAGACCGTCCAGCCCGAGACCGTCCAGCCAGCGCCAGAGACCGTCCAGCCCGAGACCGTCCAACCCGAGACCGTCCACTCCCCATCTGCCCTTCATCCGGGGACTCAACCCAAATATTTTTTGGGGGGGGGCCCAGTGTCCCAGCCACGGCCGCCCGAAGGGTCCTTACCGCCGTGGCCGCCCGAAGGGACCTCACCGCCATGGCCGCCCGAAGGGACCTCACCGCCATGGCAGCCCGAAGGGACCTCACCGCCATGGCTGCCCTGGTCACGCCTTCATCCTGCTCCGCCCTGGCCACGCCCTCATCCTGCTCCACCCTGGCCTCGCCCTCATCCTGCTCCGCCCTGGCCACGCCCTCATCCTGCTCCGCCCTGAAAGGGCCTCCTACTCCAGACCACGATTTAGAATTGGAGCCTTAACCTCTTCAGTCTCCTGTCTTCAACCATCTCACCACCACACCCCGTGACACATACATTCATCTGAAGTAGAGAATGCCTTAGTACATTGTCTCAGATACTCAGCTGGTTAAATGAGGTCAAATGTCAAAACATGGTTAGCTTAATATTCAGTTTAAAATTTCCCTTACATATCCACCCCTTTTTCATATCTTGAAAACAAAAACAAAACAGAAATTTTCTTTTATAAAAGTAATCATAATACAAAAATAAGTAAAAGAATAAATGAAATACAAAAATAAAAAAAATAAAAGATTGTATATTAAAGAAAAGAAACATACATAAATGTAAATGCAAAATTAGCCATTACACCTTTGACTCCTCTATTTTCTCTAACTTCTTTGCGGAACCCGGCGAAACCCAAAGGGGAACACTGGACTACCGCCAATAAAGCAAAGAAAATGACGAAGAAAAAAAAAGTAGTACGTATTTTTATGTGTGTAAATCACGTGCCCGCTCACGAGCACTCACTCTTAACAGACACTGTCCCCGGTGCTGCTCGCGCATAAAGCGCTCCCCGTTCACAGTAACCGAGTCGTCTCATTCAAAACAGCCAACTGTTGCTGTTAGCGAGCCGCGCATATTGAATACTCATAGGAGTCAGGCTGCGAATGTACGTGCCCGCTTCAGCGCACTCATGCTAACAAAATAAACGCCTCACCTCCGGCTCCGCGTAATATGCTTAATATGCATATTATGCTTAAATTCATGCATGAAGCTTATACATGTTCAGAAAATCTTCCAGTTTTACAGAATAAACACAGACCGGCCTCTAGTCAGGCGACTATAATTAAATGGACATTCGAGAGGGAAAAAAAAAAGTAATTAAATAAAATAAAATATGATATTTTTTTAAATAGTGCTTTATTTTTATTGTTTAATTTTAATTTAACATGTTTAAGATTTAATTTGTCATTAACTTATCATCAGTTTACGAGCCCCCTGCATTTTCTTCACAAACTCTAGTTTGGGAAACCCTGACATAATGTAATGTGAAACGCAATTCCAGTTGTTGAAAACAAAACATTTTATAATTTTTCTTTCTCTTTGTATTTTTTGTATTTAATTTTTTTTTATCAACATGATAAAGGATTTCACTTAAATGTATAAATGTGATAAAAAAGTTAGGTAAATTGTGTTTAGTGATGGACTACAATTTGTAATCCCCAGCACTGAAGGAAATGAAAATGTAGGTGAAATAGGACATTTTATGGCCGGAATTCGGAGATGGTCCTCACTGCAGAACACGAAATCTGGGGAGAGGCCTTGTATTCAGATCCAACTCCTCCCACCTTACATGTTAGGTGTGTTCGACATCGCCTGCGGCTGGATGCAACCGATCGGCGAGAACAGCCGCGTGCAGGCAGGGAGGAGCTGCAAACGGAGACGTGAAGTCGGACAATTTCTGGGTCCCGTAGTGACCACTCACGTGGTGTTTGCATGCTTACCACAGCTGAAGTGAAATAAATGCAACATTTGCCAAATAAACAGATATTTCAGACACATTTTCATTCAATACTTTTATTGTTTTATACAGAATCTGTTTGAACTAGAATAAAGTTCAAAATAAGCCTATAATCAATGATGTGGAATCAACATTTTTTTAATCAGTTTTATTTTGATAAACATGATAAACATGACACAATATAACATCGCGACTACATGAAAAGACTGTTAACTGTTATAGAAAACTGATTTGTGAGCTTTAGTGGAAATAAATGTGCGAGAATAAACACGAAAAGCACGTGATCGTTGTCATGCGGTGAATCCGGCGAATCGTGGAACAGCTGTGACATCATCAGAGCTTGTGCAGCCGCTCTTGAGAAGGTTCGCTGGCTGAGTCCTCCGGCTACTCTCGTATCGCTCTCGCGGTACTTTGATGGCATATGTCACAGTCACGTGGAGTCAGCGCTGCATCAAGTCGGACAAAATTTCTAACCGGCATGCACTGTTTCAAGTCAGCCGACGATCGGTCTGCGCAGAGCTGCATGAAGTTGAACAAGCCTATACCTAAACCTACCCGCCTCCTGATCCCTAGACCCACCCCTAATCCTACCCATCTCCACCCCTTAGATCAACTCTGCCCCCTGGATCTCGTGTACTGCAATGAGGTGCTACTGGGAATTTGTGAGATTCACGCATTGACATGACTTTCATAACATTACTTATGACTTCTTTTTATCTCAGTTTACCTGGACCGTGTGTGTGTGGGCTGACAGGGGCAGACAGAAGCGTGCATGGATCATTGACTCTTTCACTATTGAGGAAGAAAACCCTGGTCCATTTCCATACATATTAGGCAAGGTGAGCGGTTTTGTCGTTCAATTCCAATTAATTTGTATGTTTTTCACATTACATATGTGTACAAGTACTGCTTAAGTGTGATTTCTGTGCATGTTGTTTGTGTTTCAGATTGAACTTGAAAGGTCTTATTTAGTCAGATACGAGCTAAAGGGTCAGGGTGTGGATTTAGAGCCAAAGGGTATTCTCAATATTACTCAAGAAGGATATGTTTTAGTATATGGAAAGGTTGACTTTGAAGGATTTAAAGTTCTCAAAGTAAGTACTCCCTAATAAACAAATCACTCAATTTCATAATAGCATTGAAATTCATGTAAATACACTGCAAAAAAAGGCTTGTATATTGACATGCACTGGACTCAATTACAGTTGACATTTGAAGCAAAAGACAACTTAAACACTGATACAAGGCTCGGGGTTCATATCCAAATATTGGACATAAATGATCACGCTCCAGAATTTCAGCAGACAGTCTATCAAGTGACTGTAAATGAGTCAGAACCTCAAGGTAGTTTGCACTTCACTAATTTATTAATGAAATTGTCAAATGTAATGAATAGTTCACCCACCACAACAAAGCATAAAAAATGGTAACACTTTATAATAAGGTTCATTAGTTAATGAATTAACTAACATTAATATATTAACGAACTATTAATATTATAATATATTATAATTATTAATATATGAACTATTAATATATTAACTATAAATGCAGTCCATTTACCATTTACCATAACATTAACCAACCATGAGCAATTCATTTGTTGTTGTATTTGTTAAATTTGTTTATTGTTTGTTCATGTTAGTTCAAAGTTAGTTCCTTTAACTAATGTGAACAGGATTTTAATAAAGTATTAGAAAATGTTGAAGTTAACATTAACATAGATGAATAAATCCTGTATAAGTGCAGTTCATTATTAGTTCATGCTAACTAATGTAGTTAACTAATCACCCCTATTGTAACCTTATTGTAAAGTGTTACCAAAAAACTGTCAATGTTTTTGCAGACCCCAATATATATATACACTCCCCCAAAGGATTATTAGGAACACCATACTAATACTGTGGTTGACCCCCTTTCGCCTTCAGAACTGCCTTAATTCTATGTGGCATTGATTTAACAAGGTGCTGAAAGCATTCTTTATAAATATTAGCCCATATTAATATTATAGTATCTTGCAGTTGATGGAGATTTGTAGGATGCACATCCAGGGCATGAAGCTCCCATTCCACCACATCCCAAAGATGCTCTATTGGGTTGAAATCTGGTGACTGTGGTTGCTATTTTAGTTCAGTGAACTCATTGTCATGTTCAAGAAACTAATTTGAAATGTTTTGAGTTTTGTGACATGGTGCATTATCCTGCTGGAAGTAGCCATCAGAGGATGGGTACATGGTGACCATAAATGGATGGACATGGTCAAAAACAATGCTTAGGTAGGCTGTGGCATTTAAACGATGCCCAATTGGCAGTAAGGTGTGCCAAGAAAACGTCAAGTCAAGTCAAGTCACATTTATTTATATAGCGCTTTTCACAATACAGATTGTATCAAAGCAGCTTCACAGTGATAACATGAAAGTAGTACAACACAGATCAACAACATTGCTAAACACTAAATAACCCCAACTGAGCAATGATGGATCCATGTTCTCATTCTGTTTACGCCAAATTCTGGCTCTACCATCTGAATGTCTCAACAGAAATCGAGACTCATCAGACCAGGCAACATTTTTCCAGTCTTCAACTGTCCGATTTTGGTGAGCTCTTGAAAATTGTGACGCCACGTCGCCTCTTTTTCCTATCTGTAGTGGAGATGAGTGGTCTCCAATGGGGTCTTCTACTGTTGTAGCCCATCCACTTCAAGGTTGTGCGTGTTGTGGCTTCACAAATGCTTTGCTGCATACCTCGGTTGTAACGAGTGGTTTCAGTCAAAGTTACTCTTCTATCAGCTTGAACCAGTCGGCCCATTCTTCTCTGACCTCTAGCATCAACAAGGCATTTTTGCCCACATGACTGCCGAAAAACTGGATGTTTTTCCCTTTTCACACCATTGTTTGTAAACCCTAGAAATGGTTGTGCCTGTAAATCCCAGTAATGGAGCAGATTGTGAAATACTCAGACCGGCCCGTCTGCCACCAACAACCATGCCATGCTCAAAATTGCTTAAATCACCTTTCTTTGCCATTCTGACATTCAGTTTGGAGTTCAGGAGATTGTTTTTACCAGGACCACACCCCTAAATGTATTGAGGCAACTGCCATGTGATTGGTTGATTCGATAAATGAATTAATGAGAAATTGAACAGGTGTTCCTAATAATCCTTTAGGTAAGTGCATTTTTAAGGTTTGGTAGTATAGGTAGGTTTAAGGGGTCAACAGTTAAATTTAGGCGTCTAGATGTCATTACAGATGTAATTGTATGATTGTTTCCAATTGTATGAGACAATATAAATACAATGTGAAATCATGTCCAGATAGGATTGGATTCTGTAGTACAACATTAATAACAGCATACAGGTGTGAAACAACATAAGAGATTAAATAAGGTCTAGGTGAAATATCCTTCAATATCAAATAAATACTTGGAGGGTGAAGAAATTACTTTACATTCATGTAGCACATTTTTTCCTAGGTAAAGAAGTACTGAGAGTACTGGCAACTGATGGAGATGATTCAAGTACAAACAATGGAACATTTGATTTAACAATAAAGTCTTTCACACCAAAACAAGATAATGTTGAATTTTATATTCAGCAGCAAAAAGGACAAAAATATGGGACAGTTTATTTTAGAGGGTGTTTGGACTATGAGGTATGAAACTAATTTCTTTCATTGGTAATAATTATTTACCTGTTACATTTCATTCAGATAATATGCATTCCAATTTGTGCTTTATTAATATGTATTCATTCCTACAAAAGAAATCTACTTAATTAATCTTTTCCAGAAAGCTCAGACATATACAATCCTGGTTGAAGCAAAGGACAAAGGGGAAAAGATACAATTGTCAAGTACAAGTACAGTGATAATCAATATTTTCGACGAAAACAACAATCTTCCAGGGTTCTCTGGCAAAACAGTAGGTTCTCTTATTAGAGGTTCTCCCATATTGTGTAAGTTTAGCTTACCTTATGGAAAAGATTCATCTTCTTGAGATATTGAAGCCAAAAATCATCCTTAAATTTGTATCTATTTTCAACGCAGTGCAGCAGCTAGCAGACCTAGAGCAGGCTATCTAGCGTGCTCATTGGCTGCCCTGCGGCAACTGCAGCAGCCCACCACTGAGCCAGATGTGACGTCACGTCCAATGAAGGGCGCTTGCGCCCTCAACGCATCCTAGCCTGCCAGAATAGGCGTGGCTTAGCATATATCAGTGAAGCTCTCCGCATCGCTGAATTCTGAGAAGATTCAACCCTGTGGGCTCGACTCGAAGCTGTCACCACCGAAGCTGTCTCTCCACCCTTTGTAGGACCGCGCTGGAAGAAGCGGCGTTCTCAAAGGCCGCCGGAGCCTGTAGCCGTTGCGAATCGCTCACCGGAGTCCCTCCCTCAAGCCTCACCCTCGCCTTCTCCGTCCCCCCTCACCGATGCGCAGCCACTGGCCCACTGTGCCGTCTCATCTGATGATGAGGCGGAAGGACTCGTCGCAGAAGACAGCTGTTCCATTCTGGCTACGGACAGCGAGGATTGGTTGAGTTCCAATCACTCCGCCTCCTCCTGGATCCAGGAATCTGGCAGGACCCACACGGGACCCACATTTTTCTGATCACACTGTCATCAGTAAAAGGTGCGGGGGACTTACACGCTTGTCAGTGCTGCGTGTCTTGCGTTTGGACCAAATGACTAAAGTTATCCTCAAACCTAGATATGGATAAGTAATTGGCTCATTTCAGGTCATTTCCCTATGGGCTCTGCCAGCATCCGATAGTAAGAGCGATGTTAATCTCCTCTGCCCGGTCAGGGAGCACGGCAGGTTACACAATACTCGTTCCCTCATCTAGAGAGAATCGAGATTACGTTATATGGTAACCGATACGTTCACTTATGAGAGGATCTCTCGTATTGCGTAACCTGCCATGCTCGTGCCACGAGCGCTATTTCGTTTCAGTCGATGAAAACCAGAGATTCAGCCTCCGAGCCCCGCTTATATACGCTAAGCCACGCCCATTCCAAGGGCTAGGGCGCGTTGAGGGCATGCACGCCCTTCATTGGACGTGGCGTCACGTCGGGCTTAGTGGTAGGCTGCTGCAGTTGCCGCAGGGCAGCCAATGAGCACCCTAGACAGCCTTCTCTAGGTCTGCTAGCTGCTGCACTGTGTTGACAATAGATACAAAATTAAGGATAATATCTCAAGAAGATGAATCTTTCCCGTAGCGTAAGCTAAACTTACGCAATACTCATTCCCTCATCTAGAGAGAACCGAGGTTACATTAGGTTAACCAATTCGTTTCACATTGGACATTGAAGTTTTCAAGTTTTAATGCTTGTGATATTCTTGTTAAATATATATATATATATATATATATATATATATATTTAATACAGGTTGTTATATAAAACGTAACCAAATATTTCACTTGTGTTTCAGGGACCTGGGAAGGTCAAGGAGCGGGAAACTGAAGTTGAAGTTCTGCGACTGCAAGTAACAGACAAAGACGAACGTGGTTCAAAAGCCTGGAAAGCCAAATACACTATCCATGGAGATAAAAGGGAGCAATTCAAAATTGAAACAGACCCTAATACAAACGAGGGGATTTTAACAGTTGTTAAGGTAGGCAAACTGTTTTGTTGGTGTAAGAAATATATTATGCATACATTCATGTTGACACCTCTCTAAACTATCTTTATTTTTTGGCTCATTCCTACATTCCAACGCCTAGCAAATGGACTATGAGGAGCAATCATACCAAAATCTATCCATTAGTGTGCAGAACGAAATTCCTTACTTTTCATGTAAGGTCAAAAAGCAAGTGCCGAATGCTATGTGGGAGCTCAACAAAATACCTCAAAACTCTGGCATGAGTGTTGAAAACCTCTATAATACCATTCCAGTGACCATTTATGTTGAAGATGTCAACGACCCTCCAGTATTTACACCCTCTGTTAAACACGTTCACATAATGGAGAACATAGCAGCAGGAACAAGTCTTGCAACCTTCACTGCTAAAGACATGGATGGAAGCCATATAAACACATTTAAGTACGAGATGCTAATAATATGTATAAAACTAATGCCACTGTAGTTTATTGGAGGTACAGGATCACAGATAAACAAAGGTGAATTCATCTAGTGTTTCTTCGTTTCTCAGATTCGTTAAAGGTGAAGATATTGATGGGTGGATAACTGTTGATGCAAAGACTGGACTAGTATCCACAAATAAAATTCTGGACAGAGAGTCGCCATTTGGGATAAATGGCACCTATAGAGCAACCCTATATACTGTGGATGATGGTAAGATGATGGTTTTTATAGAAATTCTTATTTTTATTCAGCAAAAGATACATTCAATTAATCCAACTCGACAGATAATATTTTTTTTTGTTACAAAAAATTATATTTCAAATAAATGCTGTTCTTTTGAACTTTTCAGCAAAGAATCCTGAAAAAGTTATCACCGTTTCCAAAAAAAAATATTAGGCAGCACAATGGCATTTCTTTTACTGCATTTCTTATCGAATAAACGTAGCCTTGGTGAGCATAACACACTTAACTTAATACTTAAAGTATACCTGGACAAATAAGTGATTTTATTTCGAAATGATTTACAAATTGAATTTAATGAAGTAATTAACCACACAGGGTCCAACATTAAAATCCATCTAGCGGAAAATACATGGAAAAATTATCTATCCAGTTAGTCTTGTGTAACCATACTTACGATAATAGCATGAAGTCTGCCACCAATTGCAAGACATTCTATAGCAGTCAGTGTCAGAAATATTAGGGTGAAACAACTGTCCTATTTTCATCATGAAGAAAGCTAAACTCATGAATGAACATGTATGAAAACATTATCATGTTTTGTACTCCAAATTAATTTTTCTGTTTGTCTCCGATTGGCAGGTGTCCCACCGCTGACAGGGACTGGAACTCTATTTATTCACCTGAATGATGAAAATGATAACGTACCAATGCTAGAAGTGAACACAGTCAACATATGTCTGGATAAAGAGCCCACAGTGGCCAACATTACAGCTGTAGACCTGGACCTTCCTCCATACAGTTCACCTTTCCACTATGAGCTTTTAGGAGATGTTAAGGACAAATGGAGAGTTGAACCAACCCATGGTAATACCACCATCTACTTCACTCATCCCAATCCACCCTACACTATTCCTCACTGAATGTCCTGTTTCAATCTGGAAAAAACATCCCAGAAGTAAAATAAGTTGTCATTTAAAATAAATAAGAACAGCGTTATGTTGTGTTACTCTAGGTCAGGGGTGCCCAATCCAGGGGCCTCATTTATAAACGTTGCCCACGCACAAAAGGCGTCGTACGCCGCTCTCCACGCAATGATTGGTATTTATAAAAAGCAAACTTGACGGGAAAATGTGCGGTCCTTCACGCAAACTCCCACCCAGGTGTACTCACAAAAATGGGTGAAATGAGAAATGGCAGATGGAAGAAACACGTGAAAGTGTGTGAAACTGTAGACCATTGTGTAAAAGAAATGGCAAAATTGCGCCTCATAAAAAACATGAAGATGTCACAAAGCAAGTCTTACAATTGACAGTCTACTCGAACACCCGTTTTTTTCACCAGTAATACAAACAAAATCAAACGAAGATTACAACAGAAATGCAAATTAACACATATTTGCAAAAAGAAAAGTGAAATATGTTCTGGAATACAAGAGAGGTTTACTGTGGCTTATATTGGTGTGCTAGCAATTCATCCTCATAACACATCTGTAGCTTGTCAGATGCAATCAAATGGATGGTAATAAAATGCCATGATGCCAATGCGTAATGACGCACAAGAAGTTACATTTCTCGGTTTTCCTCTGTGTCTGCCGTGATTTCACAATCGATGAATATTAACTTGTGGGCGTTTCACGGACTATTTATGGGCAATTATGGGTGTGACATGAAGCTGCAAAAGCTGCGCTACATTTAGAATTGATTTATTAACGGAAAACTGCGTAGGATCTGCTTGCGTACATTTTTATAAATCCGAATATTTCTGTATGTAGGCACGTCCAATGTTTCATCCGTACGCCACTTCTGATGTAAATCCAACGTACAGTTTTATAAATGAGGCCCCTGATCCTGCTGATTGACTGTCCTGCACAGTTCATCTTCAACTCTAATCAAACTTGCCTTTAAAAAAGTGATCCTGAAGACATTAATTGGTTTGATTAGATTTGGAGATGAACTGTGAAGGACAGTCGATCGGCAGGAGCAGGATTGGGCACCCTTGCTCTAATAATGCCCAACGCATTCTCATCCTTTAGCATCATATAGAACGCTATATGACAAAACGGCGCTATACTACGCACATGGCACCCGTTATTGTAAAAATTACACGCGCTGTGATGGTTAGGTTTAGGTGTGGGGTAGGGTAGTCTGATATTACGCTAAAGGATTTATGACGCCTTGGGTTTGTGTGAATATTAACGATAAAGGGTGCCATGTGCGTAGTATAGCGCTGTTTTGTCATATAGCGTTCTATGTGACGCTAAAGGATGAGAACGGGCTGTTATGCAAGAGATCTCTGTCACACTGGCAGTTTAGTTCGGAACGGGGCACAATTCGCTTGAAAAATCGCTATCGCATGTGAATGCTGTCATGGGACTTGGGTGCACATTGGCGTACCAAACCCGAGACTACCTAGAGGAGGTGGTCTGAGTTCGGTTAAGGCGGGCATACACTGTGCGATGTCTGTGCGATTTCTGCAAGGTACCTACTCACACTGAACGAGTAAATCGCATGCGATGCAAAGCCAAAGTTCAGGATTTATGTGCTCACACTGTACGGTCCGATCGTCGAGCTGCGACTTCACTGCTCACACTATACGTGTAATATCTGCGATAACCCCCTATAGCAGATGCTTGTTTTGACAATATCTCTGGATTGAGAGAGGTATTGTCAGACTCTAATAATGTCTCAATCTAATAATGCCTCAACGGGGTTGAGGCATTATTAGAGCAAGGGTGCCCAATCCTGCTCCTGCCGATCGACTGTCCTGCACAGTTCATCTCCAAATCTAATCAAACCAATTAATGTCTTCAGGATCACTTTTTTAAGGCAAGATGATTTAGTATTTTCAATTTATGCATTTAATTATTATTATTATTATATTATCATTATTAAGGGAGGCCTATAGGCTAATTTTACTATTAAATTAATCCGCTATTATAATTAATTTGCCACGCAATATTTTCACAGCACATAACCAACGTGCTGTGAGGATAATAAAATATTAATCTTATTCCTCATTAAAAATTGTCTAAAACATTTAGGTCGATTACAATGAATTATATACATATAAAATAACTATTAACAGTCTATAATATGTCCGAACATTGCCATAATTAATCGTCAATGAAAATTAAAAACAGGTTTATTTCAAAAACATTGTTTGACAAAATAATAAAAGAGGTGTTACATATCAGGTGGCTTGAAGACGGTGGGTAATATTATCCATTTTGCAACACGAACTGGAGGTAAGCAACAGTAATTTGTAGCTCGTTTTTATTTTAATTTTATTTTTGCTGCAGATGAAATGGTTAAACTTCTGTTTTCGCGCAGGTGCAGTGAGGGAAAAAACACTGAGTTTAGGGCAATCGGTTCGTAGCTTTGCTTCAACTGTGCGATATAGTCACGAGGAGCGACCAAAATTTCTGACATGCCAGAAATTCATCCGACCATCCGATTGTCGATCGTGAGAGGTTAATCGCCTCTCGTTTCTCCCTGTACACTGCACGAACACTGCACGACAAACGACAAAGCTGAAAATCGGTCCGACACGAAAATGAGTCGCACGAGTCAGAATTCGGCTCAAAATCGGACGAAAATCGCACAGTGTATGCCCGCCTTTACTCCCAAACCGTGCCGTGGTTCGCGTGAATGTGAAAGCAACATGGACTCTGGTGCGCACATGTTCAGGAAGCAAATTGACCTCCATACGTTTTAGCTTATTGTGATGTATTCAGTTAAATTTGTAAGGGATGATAGTGTTGATGATTTACCTTGGATACGAGCGAGAGTGAGCCTGCAGTGTACTCAGTGCATTGCGTGTGGAATCAGGGCAACAGATTTTCAAATCCACTGTCTCCTCAAAAGAGTCTGTTTGCACAACATGACATCATGACTTTTGCGTAAACATACACGCCACTTTCGAGTCAGGTGGCGTGTTATCTCTACGCATTTTGAGCTATCCGCGTGTATCCGCGTGTATGCATGTATGTCTACGCCATTAACGTCCGTGTCATTCCGCGTGTCTGAACACGCAGTCAAATCTCCAGTCATAAATGCCATTAACCCCAGTGACGGTTAAGTTTAGGGATGTGGTTGAGGTAAGTCATATCTTTTTTTTTACCTAGGATGGTGAGGGAACAGTCATAAATGCCATTAACCCCAGTGACGGTTAGGTTTAGGGACGGGGTTGAGGTAAGTCATATATTTATATAACGTTAAGTAGGGATGTCCCGATCCGATCCACGGCCAGAACGCTAGATCGGAGATCGGAGGGGAGAAAAAAATATGAGCGATATCCAGTTTAGCGGCGCAGCCTGTCACGTGATGATTGTTGTGTTTACGCACACGCGCGCACTCTCGCTTTGCGCACGGATTCTAATGTAATCGGATGATTCCACCCACAAAAGCTGCATTTCAGTCTTTTCAGAAATTCATTGGCTATCAGAAAATAGCGTCATTTCAATCTCTATTGCAACTGGATAGATAAACTGTCACCCAAAGAGAGGTAGGTACCGATCTTCACCAGGCACGCTCGTTGGCTGTTGGAGTTTAGAAGACACCCCTAACACTCGCCGATTGGCTAAAATGACCTGTCAATCAATAGTTCATGGGTCAGCGGCCATTTTGACATTCTTTTTTCTCCAATGTTTACGTTTCAACTGAAGTTAGACGGATCAATAGTGTTGTGCTATGTTCACACTGGACGCGAATCGCGCGTCAAATTCGCGCCTGACGCGTCTAGACGCTTGACCACTAGTGTTAATTCGCGTGTCAAGAGCGAAACTGGCGCGCGTAAAGTTTGAAGCGAAATTTACGCGCGTGACGCGCGTCAGAATCAAAATCCGTTGGCGGTCATTGTTTTTATGTCGACCGAGCATTCATCAAGAGAGTTACCGCTCTACTCTGGATAGCAGAACAGCGGCGTGGGGATCATCGTCGCCGTATATTTGTGTCCACCGGACCCTTCGGAGCCGAACCGTTTGGCGAGTTTCACCATTTGCTCGCTCCAGGAGCTGCGCTGGATGACGGCCGCTGTCAGCGGTACTTTCGCCTGTCACGCGCCCAGTTTGATGACCTGTTGTCCCGCATCTGAGCGAGGATCACCCTCGCCCGGCCCCTCATCCATCTAATCTAGCTGTCATTTATTTTTGTTTTGATAATAAATAGAGCCAGCCTTCAAAAGTTCCTGTGATTTTTTTCTCTCTCTCACGTCCAGACACGAATTTATGCACATATGTTGATTGTCTTTACAACATAATACTATTTCTAGATATGGAATGAATAACATTCAATACAAAATGAACATGTCTCCATATAGAAATAATGTTTTAAGTGATGAAACATTTGCTTTGTTGTGCATAATCCCACCATGCATTTAGTCATATTAACAAAATAATTTATTGAAGCATCCAGACACTTCACCACGTGAGCAAGCAGCTAGGCTCCTGATTGGTTAACGCGGCGCGAATTCACGCCAAAGTTCAGATTTTTCAACTCGGGCGGCAGACGCGAATTCGCGTCAAACGCGTGAATGCACAACGCTCAATTCGCGCCATTCGCGCCAACTTGACGCGCGAATGAGGCGTATTCGCGTCTTCCGCGCCGCGCTCCACGCCTCATTCGCGCCGCAGGAATTTTTCTTGCATTGACTTAACATTGAAATCATTCGCGCCTGACGCCCTATTCGCGTCCGGTGTGAACGTAGCATTAGTGCGTCGAAGTTGTGATAGCGCTGTCGGCTAACGCGAAATGCTACTATTTACATTCCATGGATGTTTATTCATATATACAATTGTTTTGGACTAAAAACTTCTTCAAATTGGATTGTATGGACGCTTTACAGTGAAACCAAACCATTTTTGTTGGAATGTGGACTAACAGATGGCTAATTGGTGAGTTTCTTCCAGTTTGTGTTGGTTTGTTTTGGCTGTTGGTGGTCTGACAAAGAGACAGATTGTGCCCGCTGTGTTGATTGTATCTTAAAATGGTTTACGTCGTTCGAATCACGAGTTTCTCAGCTTTCCAAAGATATGTATTATGTTTACTTTTGTGTTTGTTTTGTTTTGTCTTTCACAAAGTTAAACCTATAAACCACCCTGTGGGCCGTATACGGCACGTCGGACCACGAAAAAAAAAATATCGGACTAATATCGGTATCGGCAAAAGCCAAAGGTGCGGCATCGGTATCGGTATCGGAAGTGAAAAAGTGGTATCGGGACATCCCTAACGTTAAGTCAACGGCGTTCATAAACACGCTGAAAGGCGATTATGCGTCTTGATAGCACGCCAAAAATGGAAATACGAATTGGCGTGGCATACACACGCTACTTCATGAGATCAGTCTGGTTTGCAAGCAGCAGGAGGCCACCTTATGTGAGACACGCACAGTAAACCTCTATTGTTCACTCCACTGCGCAAAATAGTAGCGAATTGATAAAAAACACAACATTGACCCATGTTCTGTTTTATATCATGCGCCGTGCAAGTTTGCATGCAAACGCATCAGGGTTTTATAGAATCAAGTTGAGTGTGAAACCAGATCAACGCTGCGGGGGATGCCGTGAACAAACACGCTCAGACCGCAGCAAACGAGTGTAAAAGCCCCCTTAGAAAGACAGCGCTCTTCCACCACCTCTTTGAGGTTGTAATTTTGTATCTTCTAGCAGTAATACTAACACATCTTTTTCTCTTGAAGGCACAACAGTGAGTCTTGTAAAAGAACACAGTGTGTATTCAGGTCATCACCTCCTCCAGATCAAAATATTAGACCAGCAGGGATTGTCCTCCATCCAAAACCTGTCTGTCACAGTGTGTGACTGCTCTATCGCTTCCAACTGCCATGTCAGGATGGCTCGGATGGCTCAAATGGGACGTTCTGCAGCCTGGATCGTTGGTCTTACAGTTCTGGTCTTCATTGGTAATGCAGTGATTTAAAATGTTTTGATGGTATTAATAGTCCTAATAGTTAATGAAAGGATTTCGCAAACAGTTTTCTTGGATTAAAAACCCATCCTTCTGTACAAGTCAATCCAACCATTAAAGGTGTGGTAAAACAACAATGAAAATGTTGTAGAAACCTGTAGAGGCTGGTATTTATTGACGTTTGAGAAATACACTTCTATTTTATTGTTCCAGACCGCCAAAGATGGTGAATCATAGTGGGTTACACTTTATCACTTTAGACGTTGTACTAATTATAAGTAACTTTTCAACTAACTGTCATTAAAGTATTAGTATATAATAGTAGACTGTCAGTAGACTGTTAGGTTATGGTTAGGTGTTAGGCTTTGGGTTAGGAGAATAAGTTTACTTGTAGTCGCCCAGTTACTTATAGTCAGTTGAATGTCTGTTGGGGGACCAACAAAATAAAGTGTTAGTAGTTGACAGTTAATGACAGTTAGTTGACATGTAGTTGAAAAGTTACTTATAGTAGAATGTCTAAAGTGGACTATCGAATAAAGTGTTACCTCATAGTGGAAAAGTTTGTGCACTAACGTACACTTATGAGAATCTCATGTTGATCCAGTCGCACATGACTCTAATCAATGACATACTGGAATCCATATATGCTACAGTTTACCACGGTCTGCTTTGTCATACTCACAAAATGATCTTGCTTGAATGTGCACAGATTGTTCGGCAACATAATTATCAAAATAATTTATAAATTATTAAAATAATTTATCTGAACGGATTTATCTGACTTAAAGGAGTCATTGGTTATTCAGGGTCTCTCGTCAGGAGGATATCCAACAGTATTAAGGTGAATATTGGTAGAACTTTGTGTTGTGTTTTTATGTGATTTCTAGGCCTAATCTAAAGAATGCTCACTGGTTTTCCTGAGTGTGTTTGATTGCTGTGAATGTGAGAACACAACCTTTCCACTATGACTAACCATCTCTGGCAGTCTTCCACTGTTAATCTAACCACGGTTGGACCAAAGTAAACAGAAATTCTCTCTTTTTTCAGCAATGTGCTCAATGGTCCTTCTGATCTCCTGCAAGGCAGATCAAAAAATTATTGAAATGGACGATGCCATTGGTAATCTCATCAAATCAAATATGGAAACTCCAGGAACAGACTGCATGGTAATTTCATTACACAACCCACAGTAGTGGTCCTTCAGTAATATTTGAATTGGTGCATTTTATTCAGTTTTTTTGGCAACACTTTACAACAAGGTTATATATGTCAACATTATGTAATAACATGAAATAATGAACAGTTATTTTACAGCATTTGTTCATTTAATGGTAATTTCTGTATATTGTTATATAGTTTACAATGTAATTTATTCCTGTGATCAAAGCTGAATTTTCAGCATCATTACTCAGTCTTTAGTGTCCCATAATCTTTCAGAAATCATTCTAATATGCCGATTTGATCCTCAAGAAACATCAATGTTAAAAACAGCTGATGCTGCTTTATTTATTTTTTTATCGCTTTCTGGGAGGGGGGCCATTGTGATACATATTTAGATATTATTTATTAATGAAAAGAGAACATTTATTTGAAATAGAAATATTTTATAACATTGTAAAGGTCTTTGTCACTTTTCATCAATTTAATATGTCCTTGCTGAATAGAATTAGTAGTTCCCTTTCGTAGTCACTCCGAGTTACGTCGGATGACGGAGAATAGGGGTTTCGCCTAGAAAGCCAATCCTCATCGAGTATTAAAAAACGAGCCAATGGCAAGAAAATGCCATGGGTCTGCAGAATTTGCATAGCGTAACTCCGCCTCACCTCGTTAGTATAAAAGGAGGAAGCAAACGCAACCGCAGTAAGTTTTCGCTTCTGAGCCAAGAGTATCTCTTCACTCCACAAGCCAGATCTGAGTTCACAAGTGACTCACCTCTTCGAGACGAGCGATTCTCCAGTGTTGGTGTGACGGTGGTACCCAGTGAGTCTTCACTTTGCCTGCGGTCTGTGCTGCGGTCTGCCAGACTCTGTGTTTTCTCCCTGGTCACCTCAGCATTTTAGAGTTTCCTCTCCTGAAAGAGCTGCACGGTGCGCGTCTTTTTAAAGATGTCTCGCCCGTGTTTTTCTGGTTGCGGTCGATATCTGTCATCTTCTGATGGGCACGAGTGCTGTTTTGTGTGTTTGGGCTTTGAGCATGCAAAAGCAGCACTCGTGGATGACTCATGTTCCTTTTGTGGGAACATGACCATCGCTACACTGAGATCTAGACTCAATGATCTCAAAGTGAGAGTCCCCGCATCCACGGCCCGTTCTGCTTCCTCTAACAGGGCTAGTAGTTCGGCTGGGGGACAGGGTGATCTCAGGGTTACTGTGTGGAGTGATCCGACGACACGTCCTCGGACCACGCCCCCCTCTCCAGTGTTGCAACCCGCGAGTGCCGCAGTGATTCAGGTGGGGCTTTCTACAGAGGTCCCGTGTGTTTCATTCGGCGCTCCAGAGGAGGACGCTATGTCGATCGCTGCATTACAAGGTGAGCAAGAGTCATTGGGAAGTGATGATGCGGCTGCGTTGCCTCCTTCGGGAGTCCCAGCGTTGCCCGTGTTGGATCCCGAAATGACTGCTATGTTGTCCCGGGCGGCCGTGAGCATCAGGATAGAGTGGAATCCTCCGCCCTGTCCCGCTCGCTCGGGGTTGGACGATTGTTTTTTGGGCGAGGCTGCCGCTGCAAAGCCACAGCCAACCCCAATTCCTTTCTTCCCGGAACGGCATGAGGAGTTGATGAAGTCATGGAAGGCTCCTTTGACCTCCCGTGAGCGCTCGTCAGCTTTCTCTGCCTTTCCCCCCCTCGACGGCGCAGCTATCCATGGATACACTGGGGTTCCCGCAGTGGAGCGTTCTGTTGTGATGCAACTGTGTTCGCAGAGCGCGTCCTCTCGCGGTAATCCAAAGCACCCGTCAAAGGCCTGTAGGTTCTCGTCATCGATGGTGGTGAGGTCTTATAGAGCTGCAGGACAGGTGGCTGCTGCCATGCATGTGATGAGCACCTTACAGGTCTACCAAGCCCAGCTGCTCAGAGATATCTTTGAGGGCGGGACTGATCAGGGGACGTTTGATGAACTTCGTGCCGCTTCTGGCCTGGCTCTCCGGGCGACTAAAGTGGCCGCTCACTCCCTGGGTCAGGTGATGGCCACCAACATTTGTCCAGGAACGTCACCTCTGGCTCAACCTGGCCAAAATGCGGGACGCTGAGCGGACTCGTCTGCTCGACACCCCAATATCCCTGGCCTTTTCAGCAGTGCGGTAGAGGACTTTGCCCAGCAGTTCTTGACCGCTCAGAAGCAGTCTGAGGCTATCAAACATATTCTGCCCCGACGGCAAGCTGCTGTCTGCTCGCTGCCGAGGGCGCCCTCCTACGGTTCCCCCCCCTCCCGCACAGCCCCAGCAGCAGCCTTCACCAGGACCGCGTCGTGGAGGAAACCGCAGGAAGGCGCCACAGCCCCCTCAGCCACCGCGCCCCGCTAAACGCCAGGCTAAGGGTGGGCAGTACACTAATGTGGTTAAAGAAAGAATTGACACCATCACTGAGCACACAGAGCCGGATGGCAGTGTGCGATGCCCCCGTGCCTCGCCACTCTCATCCTCCTCTGCCTCTGAGGGCAGTGCGTGCCATCTCCGGACCACACCACTCTCATCCCCCTCTATCGCCAGACCCCTGGCAGAGCAGACCCCCGTGGAACGCTGGACTTTCCCTGGTCTCCTCTGTCAGGGCGCGGAGCTTGGCGCACGTGCGCAGGGTCGCTATGCCACCCTCGCCTGTGCCGATCTCTCCGCCCCGCTGCCCCTCCGGGGGGACGCCTGTGGCTTGGATGATTCCACTGGATCAGTTTTTGGGGGCCTGGTTAGAGCTCCCCAATCTGTCCCATTGGGTCGCCCGAACTATCAGGCTCGGCTATGCTATTCAGTTCGCATGGTCTCCTCCCCGCTTCAGGGGAGTCCGCTTTACGATGGTCGGTGGCAATGCTGGCGAAGGGTACAATCGAGGCTGTCCCTCCAGCCAAGATGAGGTCAGGGTTTTACAGCCCCTACTTCATTGTTCCCATGAAAACCGGTGGGTTACGACCGATTCTGGACCCAAGCGTTTTGAACCGCACCCTTCACCAACTGCCATTCAAGATGCTCACGGCCAAACGCATTTTCGAATGTGTTCGGCCCCAGGATTGGTTTGCAGCGATAGACCTGAATGACACTCACTTTCATGTCTCCATCTTACCTCGACACAGACCGTTTCTTCGGTTTGCTTTCGAGGGGCAGGCACATCAGTAAGCGGTTCTCCCATTCGGGCTGTCTCTGTATCCTCCCATCTTTACGAAGATTGTCGAGAATCGTCCTGAATTATCTCGACGACTGGCTAATCCTAGCACACTCTCGAGATCAGGTCTGCGAACACAGAGACCTTGTGCTCCGGCACCTAGCCCATCTGGGCGTTCGGGTCAACTGGGAGAAGAGCAAACTTTGCCCCGTGTAGAGGATCTCTTTTCTCGGTATGGAGATAGACTCGGTCGCCATGTCCGCGTAGCTTACGGGCGAGGGCGCACACTCACTGCTGGCTTGTCTTCGACAGTTCGAGGGCAAAAGTGAGGTCCCACTAAAACTTTTTCAGAGGCTCCTGGGGCATATGGCATCCGCAGCCGTGGCAACGCCACTCGGATTGCTTCATATGAGATCGCTTCAGCTGTGGCTTCGCGATCGAGTTCCGAGCAGTGTTGTGCTAGTTCATACTTAAAAAGAACTAGCTCAAAGTTCAGTTCACACAGATGATAATGAACTAGTTCACGTTCATAGTTCATTAAAAAAAAAATGAACTAAGTTCACATATCTAGCAGCAATATCACCCTGTAGCCCAAGCCTGGTTGCCCACTAAAGCTAAGCAGGGCTGAGCCTGGTTAGTACCTGGATGGGAGACCTTCTGAGAAAACCAGGTTGCTGCTGGAAGAGGTGTTAGTGTGGCCAGCAGGCGGTGCTCACCCTGTGGTCTTTGGGTCCTAATGCCCCAGTATAGTAATGGGGATACTATTCTGTCCATCATGGCTTCCTAATCATCCCCAAATACACCAATTGGCTTCATCACTGTCTCCTCTCCACAAGTAAGCTGATGTGTGGTGAGCGTTCTGGCGAACTATGGCTGCCGTCGCATCATCCAGGTGGATGCTGCACATTGGTGGTGGTTGAGGAGACCCCCCCCCTCTATGTGAAGCGCTTTGAGTGTCCAGAAAAGCGCTATATAAATGTAATGAATTATTATTATTATTATCTAAAAATGAACTAGTTCATGTTCATTTGTTAAATTCTTTTTAAGATAGGCCATTATCTTACTCTTTACCATCCATTACCAGCTACAAATCACTGCCACTCCAAAACTAATCAAAATTATTGTACCAATAAACAAGAGACAATTATTATAGCCAGGGGAAAAATAATGTTGAGATAGAGAATATATTTACCCCTTAAATAATGTGTAATCATGATATGTAGAATTGGAAAATATAAGGTGCAATCAAGTAGGCTATACTGTATGTTCAGTGAAACTTTAGCCA